GAGAGGACATAGCTCACCACCATAACTGCAAGTGTTGGCCCCACAAACTTCCCTTTTCTTTCGTAATGTCCAAGTCGACATGTAGCTATGACTCGTTCAATAGTAAAGGCAGCCTACAGCACATGCAATGAGTTTTTGTTATTGGTTTTGAGCAATTGCACACTGTAAAGGTGTAGAAAATTCGAGAAATGGTCTTTTAACTTTCCACCTGAATGAGAATAAATCCAGTAATACATGTGATTGACGGAGCCAGAGACCACCAGCACTCCGTTGTGTAGAAAACAAGTGAACATGGAGAGTCCTCACCAATAATGTGGCCGACATGAAACGTCTACAAAATTTGAAATTGGATTTTCAGGTTTCATTTTTTTTTTCGACGTATTGCAAATGGATTAAATTGTCGCTACTAAAAGTTCCAAAAACTTTGCAATTCTCTACACTTTTATCACGGAACTTACATATGTAGCATCGACTATTGAGTTGAAGATGATGCCGTATGCAAATAGCAAGTAAATAAGAATCTGAAGTAAGTGATATTATAGGCTATTTAAGGAGCTGGATCATTTTCTATTACCTGAACGTTTCGATGAAAAGTTGTGCGCCTGTAGAAACGAATTCCGAGCAGGATAGTAAATATAACGGACAGAGATGCAGTGACAGCTAAAGAAGAGTGCAAACCGAAAAATATGGGATCTGTTGGAATTTGCCTGAGGATCAAACACTGGCTTACGTTTTTCATCTAAATACACTTCTATGATATGTATCCATACTCAAGAAAATGGAATAATAAGCTGATATTTGACGAAGATATCAAATGGACCTCACTAGATGATATAAGGTAGCTGAATAGCAACAGAGAATTGTCTGACCAAATTTAATTGTGGAAAATGAAGAAATCATAAACTACATTTGATCATAAGAATAAGTGGTCTGCTTTCCTTACAAAGGGAAACGACCACTGTCAATTTTACGAGACTAAAACGAGACATAAACTACCGTGTAATTTACAGCTTGTTGTTTGCATTTTCAGCTGCT